GATCAAAGCTTGGAAGCAGTCCAGCTCGCTGCATTATATAAGTTACTCAGATTCAGTAAACAGCAAAATGTGGAAACACATAAAAGTGTAGCCCCCTTGGTGTTTACAAAACCAAGTTAAAGCAGATTTTCATGAGAATTACAAAAGACAATGCCATCACCTCTAGTATAGGAGACAGGGCCGTTAATGATGAATGAAGTAATGGTAGGTCATCTGCATGTAAACAAGTCACTTCACCAACAGGAAATTTGGATCCACACCTGCCAGCTCTGCCTGGAAAATCAATAAGTTCATTAAAATAAAAAAAGTGAAGCATATGGAAAATACCATGCTGCATGGATCATCAACTTTAATATGGGTGACCAAAACAAAGAACCTTAATGTCAGTTTTCAGCAAAGGGGCTAACACTATTAACACTATATATCAGCACCATGCAACTTGTATGATTGAGAAAACTGAAAAAGAAAAAGAATTTAACAGAATACTACCAATCCAAATACCAACTATGTTAAAATTTTAGTTAGAATTCCAAGTTACCTGCAATCTGCTTTATCTCTGGTACTGTAAGCTCCCCCATTTCAACACCATCAAACTTTTTCATAGTGGAGAATATGATCCTAGAAATATCCAGATTAAGACCCATCCCAATTGCATCACTGGCCACAAGCACATCAAACTCACTAGTTTCATCATTAAACATTTTTTTCTGCAAATCTTAAACAGCATATTAAAAATAAATAAGAAAGAATAACAACTATAAATGATTAAGAAAGAAGATTCATCATTGCATGACAATAAAAATAGCATATCAAGATTGAGACTTGTACTGAAGAAGAAAAATAAGTAGAAGAAGAATGGCACCTGTCTTGTACGAGTCTCTGGTGGCAATGAACCATAAACCACAAAGCAAAGATGTTTCCCCCCATCCTGAATTTGCTTCCGGAAAAGTAGAAAAGATCAGAAATTACTTTCAGAAGAGGAGAAAAGAAGGGGCACGTGATTGGAGAGAATCAAAGTTTGAAATATTTATATGCATACATCAATACCAAAGTTAAAAGGAAAATTCTTTCTTCAAAAATAGAAATTGCAGGATCTAAAACAGTAAAACATATGAGAAGTAAAGCTTTATTTGATATGTTAAAACTATGCAGTTTTTCATGTTGAAAAAAAAAATTTCCAAATTATGAAAATACAATAAATGGGAGGATATTAAGGCAAGGAGGGCTGTAGTTAACAACTAACCAATTGAAACCACGCGATGGCAATCAAGCAGACAGACACACAGAGAAAGAAAGAAAGGGAGAGGGAGGAAGAGTATATAGATAAAAAGGAGAAAACTGTAAAATTTAAGATAAGAAGTTCAACAAAATTGGAAGTTATGCCTAACCTTAAATTTATAGATCTGTTGATGTGAAAATGTTACAATGCAATCTCCTGTTTTTATATTAGAAAAAGATCCAAGTGGAACTTCTAGAGGAACAAGTGGTGAAAGTCTTCCATAAGTTTGGACCTGGGACATTAAGCATACAGAGATTACAAATTTACAATAGAAACAAACAGAAAAAGAAAGATAACAAGCATGCCATTTTGTTTTAACATAAATGTTACATTTAACAAGATAAAAAATGTAAATTAAAAAATTGATCAAACATACGTTCCAGAAAATTACTGTACCTCTACATTATCATCAGTCACTTTCAGCACTTCCTGAAAAAGAGGAACAGCAGCCGCATCTCCACAAAGATGAAGTTCGTCAGCAGCAATTCCCAATAGAGCACGTGTGAATGAAAGACCCCTTGTTTTACAGCCCAACATCTATGGAGAACAAGAAAAGATAAAAAGAATGAGAAATAAGGAAGATCAATCTAAACATAGCTATTCCCTTTTTCAGACAGCAACAGACTTACAATTTCTTAAATCACTCCAACATATCAACTTCAAATTTAATTAATGCAACTGCTTTGTGTAAGGATACTGAAAATATGGCATGAGAAAAGAGCTGATTAAAGAAAAACTTGCTTGTATTTCATCAATAACAGCACAATGGTAATGGGAGGTTACAGCAGCCATCTCCACTGTGACAGCTTTGTGCCTTGCACCATGAACTTCGTCTCTCTCTTGTCCTGTAATTAGATCAAGAGCAACTTTTGCCTTGTTCATTTGTTTTGCCACTTCCCACACCAACAATCTTAAAGGGCCACAATACATACCTGCAGAGAGCCAGAGCCCATAAATTGTAAATCTGTTTATCATAAACTACAAACTCCTACTGTGTCCTGGCCAAGGGACAAAGCGAGATCCAGGTAAAATAGCATTTAAAATATACCTGAAGCGCTTGACTCAAGCCACTTCAAAGCTGGTATGTTTTACCACCATTGGGGGGGCCCACATGCAGGAAAACCTTGCGTTACTTCCTTCGGGCAGTAGGATACCACATATGGGGACAGATGAAGTAAACACACACTAGATTAAAACACAATGCATAGAAGAATGTGTAAGTGCAGCATCTCAATTTTAGAGAACAGGAAACAGCTTTTTACTAAACAGACCAAGTGACAAGCATTTGAAAAATGAAAGCTTCTTAAAAATAAAATAAAAGTTTTCTAAGAAACTTAAAATTCAGTCAATTTCAAAGATTGTGTATTCCTTCAAAAAGTTTAGTATCTCAAAATCCACAACAGCTACTTTTTTTGAAACTCCAATTCATGTGCCTAATGTCCATCCATGCAGCATTTAAAGAAATGATTCAGATGTCAGAAATAAATTGATACTGAGACTGTCATGCAACAAAAAAATGGAAGAGTAATAATACCCTTGTATTAAGACGTATTTTACTCACAAAGAATTGCGTATCCGAACCAAAAGCAATTAATCAGCAATTTTAGTCACAAATTACTTACATGAGGTCAGTAAAATCAAAGTTTGAGCTACTTTAGCCACTGGTGTATTTCCTTATCTTTATACCTACACTCAGAAAAGCTTGACACTTCATTTCCGGTCATAACCTAATCAACTCCATATTACCTGCCAGATAGTGAACTTAAATATATATATATATATATATATAAGATAGACATCACAATGTCACAACACAAGCACTGAAAAGCCCAAATAAAAGCAACAAAGACCCAATACCAATAATAATGAAAATGAACCTAAACTCGTTAGCCTCTCTACTATTATCTTATAATACCCAATTGACTTACTTAACTCTAGTAGCCGGATTAGTATTGCGAAAGAACTACAAGCTCCCAAGAATCCAACTTTAAGTATAAATTACGAGATGGGTATTACAGGTCTGTCTTGCTTTCCAAGTTTCAGCTTCTCCTACTACATATATAATATATTGCAAATTTGATAGGCAAACAAATTACACCTATTTTCTCAAAAAAAAACAAAAGGAAGGACTTTCAAAATTGGGATTCCTATAGAATTGGAACAGATAGTTACAAGAAAATAAACCCAAAAAATAAAAAGAAAGAGCAATGCTAGGGGCACTCGCCTCCTGCACTCTCCGGCCAACACTTTCACTTTTATTGGGCCACGTTATATTGGTTTGTAAGAGGTTGCACTTCAAAACCTTAAAACAAGCTTACGTGGCCGGAGAGTGCAAGAGGCGAGTGCCCCTAGCACTGCTCAAAAAGAAAACAAGGAGCAATAAATACAGTCTGCGAATTTTGCTCTCAAAGAAAATGATAAAGAAAATGATTTCAGGGTCTAACCTTGAAGGATGCGAGAAACCCCGAAGGTTGAAGCTTTCCGCTGCCAAAGAAGCAAAGAAGCCATTTTCTCCTTTCCTTTTGGATGAATGCTAACTGTTTGTTGAAATTACGCGACCAGTTGTTGTCGATTCAAACGAGAACCAAAGGCCCCAAGAAAACGGGAATTATAATTATACGACTGAGCCGAATTCTAAGGAAAAGCATCTGGAGAATGGAAGAATTGCAGGTTTCCATTGCGGGACGCATTCTCCTGAGTTCGCGCTTACGCCGAGTTCGCTCAGCACAGGGACATGTCGTGGCTCAGAAAAATAAAAGAAAATAGAAACGACGCTAGAAGTCAAACAAACCGGAGTCAAATGGGCTAAAGCCCAAAATATCGTTCCGTAATTCCATATCCAGTGTTGCTTTGAGCTAGAACCTTCTAGGCCTGTAACTTCAATCCCTGAAAACCCAATATGATCTGGGCTAACAAAGTGAGGGAAATATAAGTCCAAGAGCTCGAATGTAAGTAAGCGTCATTTTATAAGTTAAATTCAAGATTAAGTGTTGAGATTAGTACCTAAAAAAATTATTATTTTTTTAAATGCACTAAATCAATATAAAGCATGCAATGCCCTTAAGATTACTTAAGGAGAGATTAGTCTCAAAAGACAAAAAAATTAACTCGGTAATACCCTGATCATAAATTAAAAAAAAAAGTAAGGGAAACAGTGCATCAGTCAACAAAATACTCTCTATGCTCTCTTGCCTCTCTTCTATTTTTTTTTTAAACCAAACATATTCCAAGGCCGAAAATAACAAAATAAAGTCTGGTGACTTTTGTCCAAAGCTAAAATAGGCCCACGTATTGGACATAATGGATGGCAAAAAAAAAAAAAAAGCTAGGCCCATGTGGGTCAGCAAGAACCCAATCCTCGAGGTTGGTCCAGGTGGCCATATGCCATATGTCATTCCAAGAGGACAATCGAAATCGAACTATTGATAAAAGATGCCAGCTATATTGGTTCAAGTTAATCCAATTGCAAAGAAGGGAACCATTTCTAGGAGACTCTTTCCCTAGGGTTTCCCACTTATTTTCCTGAGGTGTTTCTTTTAGGCTCTTCTACTCTTGTATCTCCAAATCCCAGGTTGGTTGTTGATTGACGGTAAGTTGTGCAGTATTATTTGAACTTTGCTTTACTTTGTACCTATTAAGTGGTGGTAGTGTTACTTGGCATATTAATACCTCACCTACCACTTATGAGTTGTCTTTCTCAGCTGCCATATATTAACTTCTTTGAACACTTTGGGAGAGATGGCAAATTTTCATCCACTAACGGTTGGTGATGTTTCAAAATCTCGGCAAGATGGCCCGATTCTGTGCCTAGCTACTAAAGAAACGGATTTTAGGGAGCTTCGTCGATTTTCCTTTGCAAGTCATTTAATAACGAATGAAGATGATATTCGAAGTGGTGTTGTGTATAGCATTTTGAAGAGTGCTTGGAGGCCAAAAGGCAACTTGGAAGTACATGAACAATCTAAGAATACTTATTTTCATTTTATTTGATGAAAAGGAAAAAGATAGAATCCTACCGGGGTCTCCATGGTTTGTGAAAGGATCTCACATCGTCTTGAAAGAAGGGTCGATCTCGCAGCGATTTGATGAGATTGAGTTTTCATATTCTAAATTTTGGGTGCAAGTTCATGGTTTACCAAAGGAGTGTATGATTCAGCTTATTGGATTACTTTTCCCTAGTTTGATTTCATGGGACCAGTCTACTTTAGGAGGCTTGAAGAGTTTCTTACGTTTAAGGGTTGAAATTAATGTTCATGCTCTTTTCCTATCCGAATTTCAATTCATATAACAAGGAGAGGAAGTTTGGAATGCAGAATTCAAGTATGAGAAACTTGTGGATTTTTGTTATAACTGTGGGCTATTGGGTCATACTAAAAAATCCTACGAGGTTTCCCAAAGGAAGGATGATGATGGAAACCCCATACCCTACTCAGGCCACAATATGGACCATGAATGAGTGTAGTAGCCTACTCACCTAAACGACACTTTGGTTCCATCCGTGAAGGCAAAAAACCTTTCTGAATGCCGGATACAACTCCAGTAGAAGAAGCAATCAACAGACTGAGAGTTGGCTCACCATTAATGCCCACAAAACCAGTTGGACAGAGGATGTTGGTAACTGAGGAGGACATTCCAGAAAAGGGAGGTGTAGAGCAAGTTCCTGAAGGGCACGTGAACCAAGCTTTTTCTACTCTGTCATCCCTAGCATTAAATGAGATTGATCTAAAGTCTTCTAGTAGTACTAGTATGATTACCACCCCTAATACAGGTCCAAAACCTTCATTTTCTTCTGCCACACCACTACAAGAGTCTCCTTCATTGAATGTGATGGTGACCGAATTAGAGTTACCTTGCTTGGAGAACCCTCTAGATAATTCAAGCAAATTGGAGATATAGCTTATTAGACTTTACAAGAATACCCCATGTACAGAAGTGAGCTAACTTTTATCTCAACAAGTGGATTCCCAATTATCCTTGGGTATCGGATCCATTACGGGTAAGAAACACAACAATGAATTTGGGCCTTTTGGTGAAATTTTCAAACAAGCCTGTATACAAAATGAGCTAAATGGGCAGCAGAGCTCTCAAATCTAATTACAAGAAGACCTAGATTTGGGGAGCGTCAATTTTTTTTATATAAAAGGAACACGGATCCTTTACAGCCATGGAAGAATCCATTTCAATCCAACGAGTGTGGATAAGGTTTCGACAGAAGGTATTGGCTAGAGGTGTTCGTGGTGTGGTTTGGTTTGGATTTTATTATTTTTTAAATTAATCCAATTTAATCGGTTAATAGAATTTTTAAACAAATCTAATCTATTATTATGTGATAACCAAATCTATTATTATGTGATAACCAAATCAATCCAATTTAAATCAGATCAGTGTGGTTCGGTCGAATTGATCAGTTTTTAATATTATTAAATATATAATATAATGTAAAAATATTTTAGCATCAATTAGAACGTATAACTATAAAATACATTAACATTTAAATCAGTAAAAACATAATAAAAGATAAAAATTATAAGCGAATTCTTATACTTCTTTACATTTGTAAAAATTGAAAAACTTTGAAAATTCTTCTTGGTTACATCACTAGAGGCACCAAAAATAATAAAAAATAACTTCAAATTTCTAGCACAGCGTAAATAATTTTTGAAGGTTAAAATTAATTTTTTTTCTTAACACACTAATAATTTAATCATATTTTCTAAATCATGTTAAAAGTGAATAACATTTAACATGAATATTACTAAAATTGATTAGAAGCATTCAAAATTAAAATTTAAAACTTCTAAACCAAATATCTAAGAATAGTTGAATATTAAGATTAATTTTATTATATAATTTTAAGGCTTTTATAATGATATTTATTTAAAACTTAGTTAGGAAAATCATAAAATTGTTTTAAGAATAAATTAGAAATTTAGGATTCTAAGAGTAAAGGCGCAAACCAATTCTGAGATGACAAAGTTGCAGGTGAATTAAAAATTTAGAATTAAGGTTAGAGTGCATGATTAAAATGGAGAAATAACTTAGGGAATATGGAAATGTTCTATTTTTATTTTTTTAATTAAGTTAATAGAGTTATAATTTTGTAAAATAAGAAAAAGAAAATTTAAAATACTACAAAAAAATATGTTATATTATTTAATTAAATTATCTTCTAATTGAATTTTATTTTGTAATCGGGCAGTTTGCGCGGTTTGAAGGTAAAACCATAAACCAAACCAATTATGTTGGTTTTAAAATTTTAGAATTCAAACCAACCCAATTTTATATCGGTTTGGATCGATTTTTGATTGGATCAGATATGAACACCCCTAGTATTGACTTGTCAAGTGAGGATCCAGCCAGATCCATGTTTCCCCTTACTCGAAGCCTTTCACCAAACTCAAAGATCTCTCAATGACCCCCTATTATTCCTATGATTTCAGCTGTGGATCAGGCTTCAGGTAATCCTATTACACATCTCACTAATTCTGCATCAAAAACAACTAAGCAATTATTCACGAGAGATAAAGCTGATGGAGTGACGATAGCTCGCCTCTAGAGGCCACCCTCTCTGACATGAATATCCTATCATGAAATTGTCATGGCCTTGGGCAAGCCCTGACGGGAATAGCACTTAATGATCTCATCTTTAAACAGCACCCTTTGCTTAGTGTTTTGGATGGAGACTAAAAGCACAAGAAATAATTGGAGCGATTAAAGAGAAAAACATGCTTTTCTGGTAGTGCTTATGGTTGCGAGGCTATTTAGGGGGTCTGGCCTTGTGGTGGGCTGAGGATGTTCATTTCTCAATTTTTTCTTATGATAAAAACATGTTTAATGGTTGTTGTTCAGATGTTGATTTTTCTATTTCTTGGCATTTTTCCTTTATTTCTGGGGAGCCTAATATTCAATTATGGAGGACTATGTGGCATAGAGTATTGAATCTTAGGTGCCCTGAGTCTACTCCATGGTTGGTAATGGGAGATCTCAATCTTATTGGTGATAGCTATGATAAAAAGGGTAAGCGGCCTCTATTGACAGTTGATAGAAGAATTTTTGAAGAGCTTATTTATTCTTGCTCATTGAGGGAAATTGCATATCAAGGGCCTAAATATACATGGTTTAGAGGCAATATCAGTGGAAGGCTTGACTGGGCTCTTATAAATGACAAATGGAACCAAATTTTCCCAAATGCCCAACTGTTTCACTACACAAGAATTGGGTCTGACCATTGCCCTTTGTTATTATGCTTAAAAGCTATTCATGTTCTCCCTAAAAGGTAGTTCAATATAAGTTGAAATGGCAGCTTTAAAATGGGTATAAAGGTGCTATCTCCCAAGGTAGGTCCACAAATCGAGGTGGCTCCCCATTGTTTTGTATGGGATCTAAGATTTCTCATTGTAGACAATACTTGAAGCACTAGTGTAGATCTACCTTAAAAAATACACACTAAGAGTTGGAGCGACTACAACAAGAACTTGAAGACTTACAATTGGAGGAACAGTCTAAAAGGAATTTGTTGAGGTAAAACTTTCTTGTTGACAAAATCCATTCCCTATGGATGCAGGAAGAAACTTATTGGTTCTTGAGAGCTTGTACGAGTTGGATACAATATGGTGATAGAAATTCAAAATTTTTCCATGCAATTGCCTCTAGAAGAAGACAAAACAACTTTATTTTTCAACTAAAGGATGAACATGGGCAAGTAGTGGAGGGCAATGAATCAATTCTTGCTTATGCCTTTTCTCATTTTCAACAAGCCTATGTATCGAGGGATGCTTGTAATCTCAAGCCAAATGTTGGGATTATTCACCCATCTATCACTTCTGAAATGACTGATGATTTATGTCAATTTGTGGCTAATGATGAAGTTTGTTTAGCAATGTTCCAACTGGGTGCTTTTAAGGCTCCAAGTATTGATGGTTTTCCAGGATGTTTCTTCCGGCAACATTGGGATATTGTTGGGTCAAACATTTGCAAGGCTATCCAACATTTCTTTGAACATGGTTTCATGTTACGGGAAATGAATAAAACCAAACTTATCCTTATTCCTAAAATCAAGAATCTTGAAGTGATTTCACAATTTCGCCCCATCTCTCTATGTAATTTTCTTATAAGATTATTGCTAAGATATTAGCAAACCATCTAAAAGGTTACCTTGATAACCTCATCTCTTCTTTAAAGTTTGCTTTTATTCCTGGTCGGGTTATTCAAGACAATATTTTAATTGCACATGAAGCCTTTCATGACTTAAAGTTGAAGAAATTTGGTAAGCATGGTGTTGCGGCTTTGAAATTAGATATTCGAAAAGCTTATGATAGTGTTGATTAGCACTGTTTGGAAAATATTTTAAGAACTCATGGGTTCTTTGAAAAATGGATCCATATGGTAATGCAATATGTCTCCACAATCTCATACATGGTGGGAATCAATGGCAATCAAACTCCCTTTTGTGCTCCCCAAAGAGGACTCCAATAAGGAGACCCGTTACCCCTATATTTATATCTTTTTATTATTGATATATTATCTCATTTTTAATTGTAGCAACAATAGAAAAGAAGATAACTGGCTACAAGATTTGAAGGAAAAGCCCTTCAATTAGTCACCTCCGCTTTGCAGATGATTCCTTGTGTTTTGTCAATCTATGTCAGAAGAGGTGAACCATTTACAAACTATGTTACAACTTTATGGGAATGTTACTGGCCAAAGAGTCAATTTTTCCAAATCTGTTGCAATTTTTAGTTCCAATACTCTGACTGGAGTAAGGGAATCAATCTTTAATTGACTTGGAATTCAATTTGAATCCAATGTTTCTAAGTACCTCGGCCTACCAACTTCTTGGGGAAGGTCCAAAAAAGATAGCTTAAAATCTGTAGTCAATAAAATACAAAATAAGCTCTACTATTACAAGCAGGTTGTGAAATCTTAATTAAAGTTATTGCCATGGCCATTCCTACTTTCATTATGTCATGTTTTTGTTTCTTGTAGGAACTTGTAGCGATATTAATCGACTTATCTGGGAGTTTTGGTGGGGACAACACAATGATGAAAGGAAAATCTGTTGTGTTAGTTGGAACCAATTCAAAAAACAAGCATACTAGAGGTATGGGGTTTAAAGGCCTATATTGTTTTAATCTTGCTATGTTGGCCTAGTAGGCATGGCAAATAATACAAAATCCTAATGCTTTATGGGTCCGGGTGTTAAAAAGCTTATATTTTTCAGACTCTTCTTTTTTTGATACTAGGAAAGGAAGTCAAACTTCTTGGGCATGGTCAAGCATTTTAAAAGGAAGGGACATTGTTCAACTCGGAGTAAGATGGAACATGGGCAATGGTCAAGATGTTCTGATCTTTCAAGACAAATGGATCCCTGGATTTAAGGTTGTTTCACCCCCTGGCACTTATTCTCTATTTTCTCATGTTTGTGAGTTGCTTGATGATTATGGGGAATGGGATATTACTAAGTTAAATGCATGCTTCAGTAGTGAGGAATGCCAAGAAATTCTTAAAATCCCTATTGGGGCTGGTTTTGATTCGCTGGTATGGCACCTTGACAAATATGGGAGGTTTTCTATTAAAAGTGCTTATCTCCTTGCTTTTAATACTATTCATGAACCTAGTATGGATAGTAATAACATGCCCCTTTCTCCTATTGAATGGAAGCACTTATGGAAACTCAAAGTGCCCCCTAAGGTTAGAGTGTTTATGTGGAGAGCCTTTCTTAACTCTTTACCTTCACTAGATAATTTAGTGAAAAGCAGAATTGTGCAAGAGGTGCTATGTCCCTTTTGTCATTCATCTAATGAATCTTTAATGCATTTGCTATTTTACTGCCCCCATATAAAACCAGTCTAGTTTGGCTCAACCTTGGGTTTTAACCCTTGATAGCTGGGGGTGGGCTGTTTTGTTGAATGGTGGAGGTATATTAAATCGTGTGCAAAACAGATGCATTGCCCTTCTCTTGCTAACAATTGTGCCATTATTTATTGGCATATATGGAAGGCAAGAAATGAAAAAATTTATGAACATGTTGAAATTTCTCCCCAACAGGTTATTGCTTGTATTTCATGTATGATCCAAAAGTACTCTTCTCCAAACAAGATGCATTTGTTGGCTTCTCCCTCTAAATCTTGGATAGTTGGGAAAAAGAACCTTTCCTCTTGGTCCAAACCTCTACAAGGCACCCTCAAAGTGAATGTAGATGCTTCCTTCTCACAAAACCTAGGGTCTACAACTTTGGCCATGGCCATGGGCAACTTTGGCTTTGGCAAGACTTGGTTTTGTATGGCCTTATCTCCACTTATGGCTAAGGGTACTGCTCTTCTTAAAGCTGTTAGGTATGTGATAGATAGGGGAGTCCATGATGTTTATTTTTGAATCTAATAATCAAGTCTTAATCTCATGCCTTCAGCAAACTAGTAAACCTTGTCCATGGGATGCTAAATCTCTTATCATGAGCATTAGACAATCATGTATTGGCTATCCTCATTTTAGGTTCATGTTTGTTCCTAGGGACAACAATTGGGTAGCAGATTAGATTGCCAGATCCTCACTACATGGCCACTGCCCCTCATATTGGGCACATAGGCCTCCTAATATTTTACTTCACCTGCTATCTGAGGATGTAAATTACACTTGGGCCCCGTTTGGTATAGCGGTTTTGGGGTAACGGTTAGCGGTTTTACCTAAACCGCTAAATATAGGTGTTTGATAATTTTATATATTTCGAAACCGCTACAACTAAAGTATTTGGTAAAATTTTTATTTAGTGATTTAAGATTAGCGGATAGCGGTTAAGGTCCAAATCGCTAGCGGATTGAAAAAGTTAGTTTATGTAGCTTTTTGTTATGTAGCTTTTTGTATCAAACCGCTAGTGGATTAGAATTTTTTAATTTTATTGACAAATTTATCCATTTTAATTTTTTAATTAATAATTATCTAATAAATTTCAGTTTTGTTTTTTTATCTTTAATAATATTAAGTGATTATAATATTTTTTTGTA